GCTTAATCCATAGTGAACCGTGCGGTCCTAGCCTCACGCTGTATATTCTTTTTGTTGTTGTTGTATTCTGTAGAAAAAGCCGTCGACATTGCTTTTGTAATCGGTGCGTCTGGAGCTCAAGCGTCTTCAGTCTTTGCAAGAATGGTAGCCATCTTGAAGAACTTTGCTAATGAATATGAGATATCCGATGACAAAACTCGTGTTGCTCTAGTGGACTACAATGGTCCTGCGATTGCCAGGGTCTTCTTCAATGACGGTTACAGCAAAGCCAATTTTACAAGTTTCATGAGCAGCATACCTGGCCCTGGCGGACAACCAGGTACACTGAGCGGTGCTTTTACAAAAGTACGAGATGAGGTTTTCACAACGCAAAAAGGCGAGCGGCTATCTGCGGAGAATATTCTTGTTGTGCTGACCCAGGGAAACTTCGATGAGAATTCTACTGAGATCCGGAACGATATCACCAATTTTAGAAGCAATGCAGTGAAGGTCATTGTATTTGCCATCACGGAGGAGCCGGGCATAGACAAGTGGGAGAAGATCTCCTCGGGGATCAACCTCATAGTTATACCCGAGCCAAGTAAAGATACAGAGGAGGCAAAGAAATCGTCACATGCTGTGAGTAAAGGTAAGGAAATCTAAAAACGAAAGACTGCTTTCAAAAGAAGCTCCATGCAAACTCGTGTCTTGTTCGCGTACGCAGGGTTGAATAAAACCGCGGTAAAAGATTGTTGCTTGTTTGTTTTCAGCCTTCGCGCATTGTAGCTAAAATAATTGTTTGTGATGTCTCATCTTGCACATGAAAGTAGAAGACTTTTTTCTGTGAAAGTAAGTGACTTTTTTGGAAACTATTTTCAAAATCTTTTGGTTTCACTTATCCACATAAGAAATCGTGCCTTTCGAAAACGGTTTGTCTTCAAAACGTTCCAATTTTGACACCGTTCGCGAAAGTCTCTGTTTTCTTTAGCGGCTTTGGCATTTTAGTATGTACGATGGACATAAACGTGTCAAAAAGAATGCGTTTTCAAACGAAATCGCATTTGTGTGCATGGTGCCTCAGTTTGACCTGGCGGGAAAGTGCAGCCGCTCTAATTAGTCCGTTTGTTTCAAAATAAAAACATCTGCATTAACTGTAACAAGCTTTTTCTTTTAGCTGTTTTTGTTTGGGTTTGTTAGAGGATTGCAGTAGCAACCTAAACGATTTTGAATTTAATTCAATCTCAATTCTAAACAGAGTTTCGCAGCTGCGCAGAGGTGAAAGCATTCGGGTACTCTTCTGACGGCCATTACCTGCTTCGTCTAAGCGACAGTTGCAAAGACCCAACGAGAATCTACTGCCATAATATGTCATCTAACACTCCGCAAGAGTTCATCACCCTGGAGTCTGGCACAGAGAACAACTTTGCTATTGTGTATGCCCAGATGCTCATAAGAAGGGGCCACTGCAGTGGTGCTGTGCAATCCACATTGCACCCAGATCGAGGCACCACTTACTTCAGCAAAGTGCGCCTTGATATCACAACCATGAAAATTTTGAGCAATGTTTTCACCTTCGCGCAGACTCAGGGAGGTAAAGACATCCCATATGGCAAAGCAGGGGATTGTTATTCGAATAGTCATGGTAACTGCCGGAAAGGTCAGTTCAAGGTTGATTTGAGCGGGACGAGACTTCGTGTTCGGAACGATGTGAATTGGAAATTTTCGGGATGGCCGGAAAGTTTGACGATGCAGGACTACCAGAAGTCTCCTGATGGTACAGTGGTGTCTGCCAAGTGTGGAGGTTCGTGTGGTTCATGTGAGCCATCTGAGGGATTTATCATATTGGAACCTTTGTGTTCTATTCCTGCTGGTAGGTATCAGGAATAAATTTTTCCCTTTTACAGCTTTCTTGACACAACTATGTTGCCGTGTGTTTATTCAGTAATAGATAACAGATGACGTCAACATTTGGTGAGAAGAAAAGTGGAAGTGGCGCCGAGTGTGTCACTGATTTTTTGTGATCTCTTACTGTCCTGACCCACGGCAATAGTGACGTCATCTCTGCCTGCCTCTCAGTTCGTCTGTATGTCTGTCTTTCTACCTGCATGCCTAACTTAAAACCAAATTATGATTGCATGAAAAATTTCGAC